CACACAATTGATATCACACAAGGCCGTGTCCGGAAATGACGGCCCTTATTAGTTAAAAAAAAAATCGATTAACAGTTCCTTTGTTTTCTTGGACCCCCATCCCGGAAAAGAATCCTGGGCACGGCCGTGCATTACTTATTAGAATACCAAAAAGAGTAAGAAATGGAATTGAGAATTGTTAACTTGGATATATCACAGGCGAGAGAAGTGAAGTTTTTATTGAGATATGGATATCAATTTGACATATTTTTGGGAAGTTGTATGTACATGAATCATCGAGTAAATCATCAGGGTATATAAACGAAACTCATGCAATGTTCTTCACGAACTTTCAAAATTTCATACAGAAGATTCTTTTCAACAAAATATGAAATACAGTTTGTATGAACATTGGTCCGAAAATGCTTCTTCCTCGAAATATAGTGTCCAGCTTGTGAAAAAAATATTTTTTCAGTAATATAAATATTCCTCACACAATTTGAAGTTCATATACATTCAAGTATTGAATTTTATGCATTTTCTGTTTTCACAAAAAATAATAATGTGCAATGTATTTTTGGATAATATCCAAGCATTTTTATTTTTAATCAATGGGTTCAGAGATATGTCAAGGCGTGGTATTGTCTGTTTTTATCGGAAATGAAGCAAGATCCGAAAAAATAGCAGGAGACAGAAATTTTCATTAGGTTCATCTGAATATTTGAGAAAAACAAAAAAAAAGTACAGGGTCGTGCCTTTTATTTCTACAAAAAAGTCGACTTGTTTGATGGGTACGCCCCTGGAAATTATGAATCAAATCTAATTGGTCCAGTGAATGTCTGATAATTGTGTAAATGAAACTTAAAAGTTTCATGCGAATCGACTCAAGCGTTTTGAAGGTAATAATGAAAAACTCTTTTTTCTAAACTTGGAAACCAAGCATTTTCGGACTCATGTTCATAAAAACTCTGATATCTTGTTGAAAGGGTCCTATCCTAGGCTTTTGTCACCACAACTCTGAAACACCCTGTATAGCGAAAAAATGCTTGGCACCTGAAAACATAATATCTCCCTATGAAGTCTTACAATCACTCAGATAAAAACCCTAAAACGTAACCTAAATTTCAAATTCCACCTGAAAATCCTTTTCTCTCCAGTTCTCTTCCTCACCTATTCTCCTTTTTTTGTGTTGCTGCATACTTTCTATTAATTCAGTCCACCAACATTGTCGGTATTTTAGGTTATCGTCATCTATATTGTTTAGTACCTACCATAACTGTAATAGGTTTTGGTGGAAGATCAGACACGTCTGTGGCCGTGAGCTGAACCGAATACCTTTTACCCTTTTCTTCATTATAGAAAGATATTGTACATGATCTTGTTTCTATGGGTAATAAAAGAATATAATTATCATTAGCATTATATAACTCAAAAACTGAAAGAGGTATACTCAAGGAAACAAATAAATAAACCTTGAAACTTCAACGCTCTGTAGATCGATAACGAAGCGTTTTCGCACACATGCATCTAGAAAAAAATCTCATTTTGACCCGAAAAAATATTACTCCTTGATACTGAATTTTGAAATACCCTGTATGTTGTGTGATAACGTTGGTATTTTGGTTTATTTTCGTGTTCTTTTTAATCGTTTTGGGATGTATGACAAATTAATATTCATCATAGAGGACGTGGAAACAAATTCAAAAATAACAAGTTTCCATTGTTCGAGTTTGAACCCCAGGAACGCATTTGTTTTCTGTTCAATATTCAGAGTGATATTATGTGCATATACATATTTTTATATGAAGGAGAATGAAAGTTCTCAACTTCAGAAGATTTTGTTTTCAAATTCTCATCGTGTGTGTTCAATAGATATAATTCAATGTTCGTCGTGGCATATAGACAGGAAATTAGTTGTTTTCTGTTGAATAAACCGAGAAGAAAGTTGGTATTTTCATCAAATTAAGAATGCGAATTCTCAATGTATTTCTTTATTCATATTTTTATATACATTTTCTCATATTCATAATTTATCTGAGAATATTCCTTTTCAATACTTTCACCCAATCAAGGTGTTCAAAACTTGAACGATATAAACTTGTAATTTTTTTGAACCTTCAATCGTGATTAGATTTTTCTCAATTCAGAATTTCTATCCACGTCCTGAATGATGAATATCAATTTGTTATACAACCAAAAATAAAAACAACCAGACGACAGGGATCAAATGTCAACAAATAATTCTCAGATGTAAGTTCGTTATAATTTTAGTTATATAACTGGAATTCAGGTTGCTGAGGAGGGTTTGATATTCGAATCGTGTTTCATTCGAATAAAGTCATATATTCTATTTGTGAGAGATATAACTCCCATATCACTGATACGAGTGATATTTCTGGAAGTTTTAAGCTGATCAAGAGCAGAGTTGATACATATATACTTCTCCTATACATTTCATTCTCATTTAAATACAGAACATATTGGTGAGTTATATTTTTATATCATAAAACATCACATTATTTATCTGATTTTGAAGAGGATGTCAAATCTCACTTTCAGAGGATTTTCATTTTCATTCGCCTTTTGGATGTTCAACAGATATAATGTTCGACGTGGCAAATAGCCAGGAAAGTAGATGTTATCTTTTGAATATTCAAAAAGACATTACATGCATAAACATTTTTCATCTGAAGGAGAATGCAAATTCACAACTTCAGAAGATTTTGTTCACAAATTCTCATCGTGTGTGCTCAATAGATTTTTTTTTATCGATTGGAGCGCACGAAAGGGAATCCCTATAATGTTCAAAGAACATCGTGCGTTCCTAGGGAGGATAGGGACAGGAGGTAGGTATTGGAGTTTTTTTTGAATTTTTGGAGATTATATGTTGTTGGGAATACTTCCACCGGCAATGAATTCCAGAGCCTAGCCGTTCTATGGATGAAGGAGTCTTGATAAAGTGCTGTTCGACATCTTTCGAGGTTGACAACAAAAGGATGTGCTGACTGGGCTTGTCTAGTTCGTCTGATTGGTATTGCTAGTGAAGGGATGATTGCAGAGATTTCCGAAGAACATTTCCCGTGGAAGTATCGATAGAAAAGTGAAAGGTCGCCGACCTTTCTACGGTGTACCAATGATGTCAAAGAGTGAGTGAGTGTGGCGTCACCCACCAGGCGAATGGCTCTTCTCTGGATGGAATCTAAGAGCATCAGCGTATGTTTTGGTGCTGAACCCCATATGTGGGAACAGTATTCTAGAACAGGCCGTATCTGCGCTTTGTAGATCATGAGGAGCTGTTGAGGTGTAAAGTAGCTTTTCGCACGGAACAAGAATCCGAGTTTTTGTGAAGCAGCTTTTGCGATGGATCTGACATGATTATCCCATGAAAGAGTGTTGCTGATGGAAATACCGAGCATAGATATGGTGGGCTTGGTGGGGATGGTGGAGCCAGACATAACAATATCGGGCATACTGAGTTCCGCCTTTCTAGAGAAAATGCAGGCTTGAGTTTTGGTGGCGTTGAATTCAACTAGGTTGTTCGTTCCCCAGGCTGTGATTTCAGCAAGATCTTCATTGACAGCATTGACCTGCCTGCGCCGTGAGTTCTTAGTTTCCTGGGAAGAAATGGGAATTCTGGAAGAGAACGCAGTATGGAGGGTACTATCATCTGCAAAGCTGTGGATGGGGCAAGTTGTTACTCCCAACAGATCATTGATATGAAGCAGGAATAATGTTGGTGCCAAAATTGATCCTTGTGGAACGCCGGAATTGATGCCAATGGTATCAGACGATACACCGTCCACCACCACGTGAAGCGATCTGCCTGAAAGAAAACTCGATAAGAGATGGCATAGCTGAGGTGGTAAGCCGTATGATGGTAGTTTGTGGAGGAGTCCTTCGTGCCAAACACGGTCGAATGCTTTCGATATGTCCAACGCGACAGCTAGAGATTCCCCGTGTTTTTCTATTGAAGATTGCCATAAATGGGTGACGTAGGCAAGTAGATCTCCAGTAGATCTTCGGTGGCGAAAGCCGTATTGTCTATCATTGACGATTCCTGAGCTCTCCAGATATTTGATAAGCTCAATATTGATGGCTTTCTCCATCACTTTGGAGATCACTGATAACAGGGCAATGGGCCTGTAGTTGTTGGGCAGGTTCTTGTTCCCTTTTTTGGGGATTGGTTGGACTCTAGCTGTCTTCCAGCATGATGGAAAAATACCCGACCTGTACGAGAGGGTAAACATCTTGCAGAGAATCGGTGTTAATTCTGGTGCACATTTTTTGAGGATAATGGGTGGAATTCCATCAGGACCGTTAGCCTTATTCGTTTTGAGACCAAGCAAAATTCGTCTGATAGTGCGTTGACGGAAGACGATTTCGGGCATTCGACTCTCAACGGGTGGAATGTCTGGCGGCAGTTTTCCTTGGGAATCTAAAGTAGAGTTTGCTGCGAACATCTCTGCAAAAATATTCGCTTTCTCCTGCGATGTTGTTGCTAATGTGCCGTAGGATTTGGACAGTGGTGGAAATGAACTATTAGTGAAATTTCTTCCGACCGCTTTAGCATAAGGGACCAAAACGGACCATATAATTCAATGTTCGTCGTGGCATATATAGCCAGGTGAGTAGTTGTTTTCTGTTGAATAAACCGAGGAAGAATTGATATTTTCATCTCACAGAGAATGCGAATTCTCAATGTATTTCTTTATGTATATATATATATGTATATCCAATTTTTTCATGCTCATAATTTATCTGAGAATATTCGTTTTCAATTATTTCTCATCATTTTCCTAATATTTGTTACTACATTGGGAATATGAATCTATTATATTCTTGGGAGAATGTGATTATTTCTACCAATGAATCTATTTTGGGCATTAATTGCGTATAATGACTTATACGTGATTTCCTCATTTTACCACCACATATTCGTTGTGATAAGGCAAACTTACCTAATACGTAAACCGCGGCTGCTTCAACCAATATATAAGGAGATAAAGAACGTCTCATGATGTCTTCTGCATACTGTTAACAGAAAAAGTTGGTTGATTACTAGCGCGTTTGGGTTTTTTGGCTAGTAAGGTTTGGCCCCGTGTATACGTGAGTGGATAAAAAACCATCTCGATCAAACTCTTTGTTGTTGTTTTTGGTACCACTGAATAAATAATATTGGGTGGTTTATTTGTTGACCTCTTCTTTCGCTACGATGTACTTGAAATTGAATTCCGAGCTATCACGGTGGCAGAAGTATGCAGTGATTTTTTCCATAACATTGTAAGTACCTACCTATCTAAATATCACTTATTCAGCTCAGAACTTGAACATATTCAGAAAGTATTATTTTTTTTTGTATTTTCTATAGCCAGGAGTTCAATCTGAATCACTACGAGCAAAGCAAAATGAATATTGAAATACATATCATATGTGTAAACATTTATCTATTGACTCGGCCTTTACTTTGATGAAAATCCATAGTGAATGAAAAAACTTCACAAACGACAAAATATCCACAATATCCTTCTTCTATACAGAAACTAACGACAGATCCGAAACATTTGACATTATTTTTCCAAAATAAATTGTATATCAAATTTCGAATTTCGGATGAAATACCCAGTATTTTCTAATCCATTATTGGAAGCAAATCAATCCTGAAAGACATAAAATTCTTAGCTCATTGAATTCTGTCGAGACTCACAAGGCGAATCATTTCGTAGATGTAGTTATGAGATCATAATCCATCGTATATGACTATGAGGCATCATCACAGGGTGCTTAGGTTAAGAAAAATCCCTTTTTCTTTGATTATCACCCATTGAAAAGAAATTGAAGATAGTCTCTAGTAGTATAGGTCATAAGTGATTTTAAATTCAGGATTTTGATCACCCTGTATTTGTTCCAATTGTATGGCAGTATACAGTCTGTCCAAGATAAGGTTGAACAGCATGGGGATCTCGAAAACGGTAGGAGATACGAAGTCGGTTAAATGGGGAAAAAGTTGCGCATTCGGAGGCTCATATCAAGAGCTTTCGAAAATTTTTCAAATTATTTTCAGTTTTTTAGTTATATCGAGAAAAGTGAATTTTTGGAATAACTATTTAATATTTTTTTCTCCTTTATTATTAGAGATACAGGAGAGCTGAAAATACTTTTCCATAGCAACTTGTGATGACGTTCAACGTGGTTATACTGATTTTTTCATGCGACGTTTCGTATCCGTAGAACCATCATCAACTTTTGTTTTTTAAATACGGTCCTGATAATTTTTTCACAGATTCTGAAAGTTTTTTTTATTCTAAATTCAACCATGTATTATACAAGGTGATTTGAATATGTTTCGACCTATTTCTATCCATCATCAATGTTTTTTCGAACTTCCAAAGGAAAAGTGCCATTAGTTCCATTTATTTCTGATCATTTAGTGTCAAACATTGATGGATTAGTTATTCAATACTGAAAAGTGAATAAAAAATATTTCACTACATCATTCAATGCAGCGCTTAAAATTGTTGATGAATTCTTACACGAATTACTTTAACAACTTAACTTTGACAATACCTACAGAAACATTCATAAGAAATGTTCAAAATGATAACCATCATTTTCTGAACGAAGATATCCTCTTCTCACAGTTGCTTCTAAGACATTACTAAGCATTTCTGGGGTTATTCTATTGAAAGCTTCGATGACACTGTTCCTCAGTTTTTCTTCATCATCAAAGCTATCTGCGTGTACAAAGTTTTTGATAAATCCCCTGAAAAAAATCCAGTTGTGTCAAATCAGGTGTCCGCGCCGGCCAAGGGACTGCAGAATGAGTACCAATCCATTTTTCTGGATAAAAACGCACGAACTTCTCTGGAATTATGTACCGGAGCGCCATCTTGTTGAAACCAACAGTTCTGAACTTCCGTAATCGGTAAATCATCCAGAGCTTCCTCAAGATGATTTTCAAGCAAATTTCTATAACGTTAGGAAGTCTCTGTTTCATGGTGAATAAAATGACCAATAATTCGTGTACCAAATATTGCAACCCACATATTAAACGGTGTTGGTGTCTCGCTGTAATGTATAAATGTTCATTTTCTCGTGAACAATAATGTGTATTTTTTCTATCGAAGATACCATTGTTAGTGATCATGCTTTCATCAGTCCAGATGATTGTTCGCGGGAAATTTGCAAAATTTAGACATTTACTGGTATACCACTCACAGAATGTCCTGCGCCTTTCGTCATCGCCTGGTTTTAGCGCTTGACATATTTTGAATTTGTATGGATGGAATTTTCGTTTCCGCAAAATGAAATAAGTTGTTGATTGGAACCAGTTTTGATGAGGTATCAGTGTGTTGACTGATTTTCCTTCAAAATAAGTGGAACTGATGGCATTTTTTCTCTAGAATTTCGAAAAAACATTGATGATGGTTAAAAATAGGTCGAAACACGAGTATACCACCTTGTATAATACATGGTTGAATTCAGGATAAAAAACCTTTCGGAACATTAATTTCTCTGAGATGAGGATAATTTACATTCTTCTTCTTCTTTCAAACGAGGTGTCAATGACACTATATCATCTATAAATTCTTTTAGATTTCTATTGGTTAAACATAGTGGCATTTTGGGGCAGATCATCTGATTTGTGCTTACTCATTCGCCTGGTGGGTGATGCCGCACTCACTGATTCTTTAACATCATTGCATGGAACACTGTTGCAAAGTCGGCGACCTTTCAGTTTTCTATAGATACATCCACGTATATGTTCTTCAGAAGTCTTGGCTATTAGTCCACTATTGGCAGTACCAGTATATCTACCAGTCAAACGAACTTGACAGGCACGCAGTAAGCACATCTCTTGTCGTCAACCTTGAAATATGTCGAACAACTCTTTTCCGAAACTCGTTCGTCTGTAGAACTCTCCTTTGCCAAAGGAAGTATATCCAAGTACTTATAATCTCCAAAAATATAAAAAAATCCAATACTCACTTCCACTCTCTATCCTCGCTAGGTACGCGCAATTTCACCCGAACATTATATGAATTCTCTTTCGTGCGCTCCAAAAGATTTCAAAAAATACTGATATATTCATTTATAGACACACGAGAAGAACATTGAAAAATTTCGATATATAACACTTATAACAGTATATTCTGTAGTAATACTATATGTACTTCAAAATATTCGCTTTATAAACATTGATACCTTGTTGCATTATTACAAAGAGTGTCAGTTGGACAATTGAAATAATCCGACCGCGAGGGAGGAGAGTCATTCTGTTAAGTGTGAATTGAACTGACACGATTTGTGATCATGCAGGAAGTTTGAGATGTACCTTTATAACATTGTATAGTTTGAAGTTCGAATTGATTTCGATGCGATTATTTTTTGAGTAGTTCTGAACGAACGTCAACATTTTCCGACGCGCTATGATGGTATTTATGTAACACTATAAATTGGTTACCGAGTTGGTTACTATGGAAATCATTCTGAATTTCTGATTGGTAGAGTTACTCTATGTATATCGCCGTATAGTCGAGATTATATAAGGTAGCTCAACACAATTGAATGTTCTGATTGGTTTCAAATCATACGAAGATAATAATCATTATTATTACTGAATAGAGTACAGTGTGTCCAGTTTTCGATGCTTTTGCGAGATATCTCAGTTATCTCTCGAGATAGAACCTTGCCGTTCTCGCAGTCCTGTGCCACTTTTTTGTGTTACTCTAGATTGCCTAATCAGATTTTGCATAACTGTTTTCGTTTATGAGATACAGGGTGATTTTGAAAATTTATACTTTTTGGACCTCTTCTATATCTACGAAGTTTCTCAGCACAAATGTCAAATTGAAATCTCATCTCACACACACACACACATTCATAATGGGATTATACAAGATATTTCTGACGAATTTAAAAAATAATTTTATGGCAAAATCACTATCCTTTTTTCGTTTTCAAGAAACAAGATGGAAACATAACTTCGAACCTTCCAAATTCTGGTATTTGTTGATATATCCAATACTTGTAAAAATAATCGAGGAACTAAGTCAAGAAGTAATTTGTTTTTAATATTTTCCATTTCAGATTGACAATATTTCTCCTGTTGTTCCTAGCAATATGGGTGATCTTTCCAATAGTATTCATGAACAACATCTCAGTCCAAGCTTCCTCCATATTCCTCAACAGTAAGCTCTTCTAAGATCCGACTACAAGATTACTACGTTCCTCAAGTTTATTGACCTCCATTTTGACAGACAAAAAATGTCTAAAACGGTCGTGCATAAAATACATGTATTTCGGGAGTAACTTGTTTTTGTTTTGTCAATAGCGATATACAAATTTTACAACAATATTCATGAATATATGTTAAAATTAAATTTTCATTGAATACTTGATGAACGTAGTAATCTTGCAGTCGGAATAACTATATTTTCAATCGAAACTGTCTGTCACTGTCAAAACTGCTGCCTACTGAGTTCTAACATTCGAGTTTCTGTGTCAAAATAGATATTCACAATCCAAATGAGGCCGGAGCCATTTGGATAACCCATCGATTATCGTAATATAAATTTACGATACAAATATAGTAGTCACAATATTTTACCTACTACCAAAAAATGCTAGTTATTTGATCAAAAATTGTTAATATTCCTAGAATTATTATAGTAATCAAAGTTATAAGGTCGATATGTAGCAAATGACGGAAGAGGTTGAACATTGTAATCTGTGGCGCAGCCGAGGAATATAACAACTGAATCCGTTATTTGCGTATCGGCCGTGTGTCGTTCAAGACTTTTCGTAATCCCACTAGAAGATAACATTTTTATTCGGAGGAAAGAGCAAACCACGTACTTCGTAATTTTGCAGAAAAGTCTCAACATCGTGTTGTTATGGAACAGTTAGCGGCAGGCTTCAAACAATCTTAACGGACGGAGGCTGTAAACATTAACTTTTCAATTGTCATCTTAATACCATGAAATCGTATGGGATTACGAAATCGATTTTTAGGATTATTATAGGAATGTAACAAGCAAGCTTTGCGAGAGTTGCGCGTATATACCTGCTTGTCGTGAATCTATTATGTTATCCTGTTCTGCAAAGACATGAATTTCGATCACGAAAGTATAAATTCGGATATTGAAATGGCAAATGAAGCAATTCAAACTTCAGCACCTGCTATATTTATGATAAATCAGTTTTTATTTATTTGGTTGGGGAAAACACTGAAATTTGATTTTATTTTCATTCACTTCATCGCATTAGTACGAGAACAGGAATCAGTGTCGTGATGTTTCATTTTATCGTAAATATCCATATTACGATATGATATGGGAAATTTGTCAATCGAGGCTGAAGGCCGAGTTTGATTACCCATTGATTATCGTAATATGAATTTACGATACGAATGTAGTACACTGTTTTGCCCACTACCACTCATTCTGCGAACTGTCAACTTTGACGCTTTCATTTCAATTCGAGAAGAAATGTATCGACATGCATTTCAACTACAAAAGTATAGATTCAGATATAGAAATTATGTAGATATCATCAAATATTATGTTTGTCTGGATAAATAATGATAGTATGTCTATATTTATGATCAATTAGTTCTTTTTTTTTACTATTCCACTCTTGGTCTCTAGAATCTATCAAAATCGGCCATTTTCACGGTTTCTTTTGTATTACAACGCTATTTTATTTGTTTACTGAATTCCATCGGACTTGCTCTACCAATACAGAAGCGGAATTGACCCACACCCCACACGTGACCAACCTCCCTCGTTTTGCAGCAATAAAATTTTGGACGTTTCAAACGTCCATTATGTTGGAAGCCAGAATGATGGATGCAGTGTGCGCAACTCTCTTGAGCCGCTCGTTTATTGTCTCAATCATTGAGAACTCATAGGCATATTCAACCCGTGATACTATTTTTCCTGCAAATATTCGTCAATTGACATACTCCAGCTTGCTGCTTTGATTTCGCTCATGACATTGTTCCAAGTTCTGATAAACAATGTCATTTCAGGCAAAATAGTATCACTTGTGGAATTACATATGAGTAAAGAACTGGAATTTGAAATTGTTACCAACTTTACCGCACTAGTGCATCAGAGAATCACATTACGAAACCAAAATCAGTATTGTCATGATTCACTTTACATGTTGGTGGTAGGTAAAATTATTATATCTAACCATTACAGGGTGTACTGAAACGTGAGGACGTAGAATTTATCGAAATATACAGATCCACCACATAACGCCCCAATAGAAGTTGCATGATAAAGAAGATATTATCATTGAGGAGGATTATTCCCAGACATATTTATGAACTGAAAAAAATGGATACAGGGTGTCTGCAAAAGGTTGGGACAAGGTTCGGCTGTGACTCCTGGGATAAAAACAAGTTGATTTGGGCCAACTTACCTATACCGGGTGACCCGGAACCAATTTACCCCCCTGTATCTTCGTTATTATTCTGTATGGATGTTTCAAATTCGTTACTTCGATTTGATGTTATTAATGTACGATTTAGCAAGTATCAATCCAAATATGTCACTTCCGGTTTGACCGGAAGCGCATCCAATTTTTATATTTCGAATAGGAAGTATTATTTTTTTTTTGAAAATTACAATTCGGTATAGAATTACCTTCACAATGACATATCACAATCATACTTTCAATTCACAATCTGCTGGTATAATTGACATTTTATAAAAAAAAATACTTTTTGTGTTCCTCTCGTAACGGAAAATTTTCATGAAAGTATGCTGTGGAAGATTGAACAATATCATGTAAGCAACAATAATTCAATCTTCCACAGCATACTTTCATGAAAATGTTTCGTTACGAGGGGAACACAAAAAGTATTTTTTTTATAAAATGTCAATTATACCAGCAGATTGTGAATTGAAAGTGTGATTGTGATATGTCATTGTGAAGGTAATTCTATACCGAATTGTAATTTTCAAAAATTAATTCTTCCTATCCGAAATATAAAAATTGGATGCGCTTCCGGTCAAACCGGAAGTGACATATTTGGATTGATACTTGCTAAATTGTACATTCATAACATCAAATCAAATTACCAAATTTGAAACATCCATACAAAATAACAACGAAGATACAGGGGGGTAAATTGGTTCCGGGTCACCCGGTATATTCAATATCGTCTCGTTGAGTTGGTACAAGAAGCTGAAGTTTTTCTGAGAAAAAATGATTTCGCTCATGGAAAAAGTTGGCTGAGATCGATTTTCATAATTTTTGACATGGCATGTTCTCTGTGACTGTAAGTCACGTTTTGAGATGTTTTTGATCATGATCAGTGACCTGCAAGTGTTTCAAACAACCATGTCGCCGCACAAATTTGGTGATAACTTTTCAGAGGCCAGACTGGAAACTTCCAGTTTTTTTTTCAGAAAGATATTACCTTCAGAAATATTTTTTGTATTGTAATTTTTGATAAGTCTCGAGGTTCATTTGCAGATAAATATAATTTCTGATCCGAGGCATCATATGCATTTTTTAGGAAAATAATCTGGTTGGGACATGGCTTGGCAGTAGGCTCCTTGGATAAAAATAAGTTGATTCTAGTAAACTCACCTATATCCAGAATCGTTTCGTTGAGTTGGTACAAGGCGTTGAAGTTCTCACCTCAGGTCCTGAATAATTATCACTTAATTTGTAACACGGGAGTTCTTGTAAAGCATGCGAAGACCAGCAACTTATCAGTTTATTCACAATAAGAATACATTGTAGTCATGATCAGAAATGCGCAGGATGCATCAGATCAGAAATAATTCATTTGCAAATGAACCTTCAAACTGATCAAAAATTAACACGATACAAAGAATATTTCTGAAGTAACTATCTTTCTGGAAAAAAACTGTAAATTTCCAGTCTGACCTCTGAAAAGTTATCACCAAATTTGTACGGCAATATACAAGCTGACATCATTTGTACGTCATTATCACGTCAGGCCTGACGTCAGGAGGACTTCCAAAATGACGTTATAATGACGTTTATATGACCTTCTAAGTCGAAGACAAATGACGTCATTTTCATGTCGTCAAAATGACGTCATCCTAATGGCGTCAAAATGACGACATCCTAATGGCGTCAAAATGATCGATCTTTATGATAATTTATATCGCAGAAATCTTCCGCACGTTTCAGTTCATGTTGTGCTATTTCGAAATTATCTGTAGGTAAAAAAAACACTAATGTATTAGGGTTGTATCAATATTATCAGAAAAGATAAGATTTTTTTGTTCCTTTACCACATTGAATACAAAATAATATTATAGGTAGGTACTATAATTACCAGTTTCATAAAATTTTCTTTTTATTGTGAACTTATCCCATTCTGATGATGCACAGTCGAGAGATTTCTCAGTGCCCTTTTTCGGCGTATACCACTTGTCTAAAATGATGACCATGCTGCAATCCTCAAATTCTACTACATGAATATGACCAAGTATGACCACCACACACCACGCAACAACGTTATAAGCTTTTCATGACGTGAAATTCGGTCTTATATTTTTAATAGCTATAGGGAGAATACTTTGCACAGAAGGTGTATAATTAACAATTATCTCAGAGACCATCGAAAACACACAGCTCGCACAGATTAGAGGAAAAATTATTACAATGCATAATTTATGATGAGTGACATGATAATATATGTTATATAACATAACTACTAACGTTTTCATATAACAGAGATGGGAAACTCCTTGATTATAAATTTTCCTTGGACGTCTATATACGTCAAAATGAAATCATTTTGAGGTCATATGACGTCAATGACTATAAATGACCATATATTGACGTACAAATGACGTCAGCTTGTTACCTGGGATGGTTGTTTGAAACACTTGCAGGTCACTGATGATGATCAAAAACATCTCAAAACGTGACTAACAGTCACAGAACATGCCATGTCAAAAATTATGGAAATCGATCCTAGCTTACTCTTTTTATGAGCAAAATTATTTTTTTCCTAATAAATTTCAACGCCTTGTACCAACTCAACAAGACGATCTTGGATATAGGTGAGTAGGCCTGAATCAACTTGTTTTTATCCGAGTAGTCCACAGCCGAGCCATGTCCCAACCTCTTACAGACACCCTGTATATACATGGAGAAATATATTGATAATTCGCATTCTCCATATGATGAAAATATTAGTTCTTTCTCGGTTTATTCAACAGAAAACAACTACTTTCCTGGCTATATGCCACGACGAACATTGAATTACATCTATTGAACACACACGATAAGAATTTGAAAACAAAATCTTCTGAAACAGATAATTTGCATTCTACTTTATACAAAGATTATGTGCATAATATCATTCTGAATATTCAACAGAAAACAACTACTTTTCTGGTTATTTGCCACGTCGAACATTGAATCATATCTGTTGAATATCCAGAAAGAGAGCATGAAGAATACAAAAAATATATTATTAATTGACCAGTTCATACATTTTGAAAGATTTTCATTATGGTCCGCCTAGCGATAGTCATCGTAAATTTTTCCTCAATATCTTTTTTGTGACCTTGTTTACATGCTTTTGATTTATGGAGAGTTTCACCAAAGTGCGCAGGAACAGAATTCCATTTGTACACAGAAAGATTCTGGTTAGGAAATCATTCAACACAGCAATTGTTCGTTAATTTGGTGCAAAGATTTCGTGAAACAGGGTGTTTGTCGAAACAAAGACGAGGCCTGTGCCACCCGGAATGGTGAATATTCCAGAACTGGGCCAATTCTATCAGTGAGTTTTTCATCTTCATTATTTTTCAACTTCTATATGGGAAATATTGGGTGATTTTGTCTATTTTCATGAGATCTACATCCTGGTGAAGAAATGCTCCACCTTTGAAAACACCTTGTATAATGCATGATTCAGAAGTTAATGAAGTTGCAGAAAAAGTAGAGTATAATACTCGTTCATTCACCAATCATACATTCATGAATATTTCGTGGCTAAAGACATCTGAAGGTAGGCACTGTACGTAGTCACTATATCCAGAAATTCTAAGATCAAGGATCAATTTCGTTGATTTTTGTTCAGTCGACAACCCTTCAAGGCCGGATTTCGACAATCCAGCGAAATATGACTTGGATGGAACAGTGAACTTTTTCATCACCACCAATAACACAGACGGCAATTCGGTTGCCATCGGGACTTGGCTGATCCTTCCGGAAAATCAGCAAAATATGAGCGTTGGTCTGCATTCAGCTGGGGAACTTTTGGCAAACACCTCGTATCCAGTGTTGTTATACATGCACGGGGTATATGCGAATAGGGCGAAGCCAATTTACGCTTATAAGGCACTCAGAAAACAGTTCATCATCATTGCCATTGATTATAGAGGTAAGTGTTTCACTTTGATTTCCTTCAAGATGTACAGAGTGATAAGGTTATCCAGTTATTCGAAACAATTTTCTAAAAAAATTACTATGATGTCCATCACGTTGAGAAAACAGATAATTTTGATTTTTTCATTCCTCTTAGATATCCCACTCACTTGTTATTGTTTTCCCATAAACTGGATTGTGACATATTATGACATATACAGATATATATACAGGGTGTCCCTCCGGGAACTGCATCGATCAATACATAGAAAACCATAGGTAGCCAGAATTTGAAAATTTGGGAGTTCACTATTGTTGATAAGTGCTATCCGGCTAAAATATTTTGAAGATTGTGGCACTTCCGGTTGTACCGGAAGTGGACCCCAAATTCGTTATTTCGAATTGGTCACCCCGTATATTATCAAGGTTTTAGATTTTGCGCATAATCCTGAACATGTTTTATATATAATGCCCTATATCTAAGTCTAACCATTTTCGAAATATTACAAATTTCAAGTTGAAAATTGCGTTTGCAGACCGAAAAATATGTTTTTTCTTATTTCTGAATATGATCATTCATTTTTGATTGTGTATCGATTCATTCGTAGGAGACGACCAAGTTCAGTAGTATTTCGATAACCGTTATACAGGGCTTTCACCAGAAAATGATATACCCATATAGATCCGGTTGAACAAATTAATGTGAGTCAATTTTTTCTCGCAAGTGCAAAATTCGCTTGTCAAACAAAGTGTTACTTTTGATCCTAATGGAACAATCTGCTATTTTTCTACGGCAATAACACAAAATTGTTCTTGTTTTAGTGTGTTTGATAAATCAATGAGGTACAGTCGTGTTTATAGGCCTTGATTAGGTAAACAAGTCGTACAAAGTTTGTATGGTGGATTTCATTAAAAAGAAGAACACGTACACATTTGCGCACAACTGACAAAAATATTCAGAATTCTGACACTACTTGTCAAAGTCGGTAAGAAGATCAAGATTGACAAGCGTGACTCACAATAGCCTATAACTGCTATAAGACTTGTTCATGCACGCAAATGTTCTGTGTATGTTAATTTTATTTCCTTTCCTGATATACCAATGACTTCATTGTGTTATTATTTCACAAAATCTCATCTTCCATGATGTGTCAAATTTCAAGCAATGACAGCTCTGTCTTATATATGAGCAAAACTCAAGGAAACATTCGATGGCTACATGCCGAAAAAATAAAATAAATCGCTATTATCTGTTACAGCCGTAAAAAAAGTATAGTGTATAACTCGCACGGAATGATTGTTTGACAGAATAATTCTCCCACCTCGTGGTCAGACAATTTCAACTGTAAAACTGACACTGTAATTATGCAACAAGTTATCGATGTATAACCCGAATATTTTGAAGAACCTAATCATAGTATTGGCGACTAAACATTGTGAATAATCAAATTTCATTTCGAAACTTCTGAAAGGAATAGGCATATCATTGCTTATTAGTTATTTGATATGCAACTGATATGTTAGTTGAACATAATTATAGATTCTGAATGGCATTGGATAATTTGGATTTCATTAACTTCAAAATCTCGATATTTGGCACGTGTTATAGGTACGCCTTTTCTTTATATAGCCTATACTAGGATAACAAATAATAAAAACGTGAATCTCGATCGACTAAGCTTTCGGTGTACCTACCTACATACCTATAACATATTGAAAAATAAATAAAATCAGTTGACCAGCTACGAAATGAAACAAAGTTGTCAATTTTAATTGGTACATAAATAACTATTTTTAGTATTTCTGGTTCCACTTTTCTGAAAATAGACCTTCATTAATTAAAAATGCATTAAAAAGTAGACAATGAAATGATTACCACATCTCAGACTTCTGCTAATGCATATTATAAAAATGATAAGAATCTAGTTTACTAGTTTAGTAATCTATTAAACAATACAGTACAGTAAAAGTAAGAGAAAATGTAGTAATTTTATCCATGTTTATCGTAGATAAGATATTTTCCAGAATTTTTCACACAATATACCAAAGTCCATGATGATTCTTGCCTTCATCTTACTCATATATTTAATCAGTTTCATAACATACGATATGTTTAAAAAATCATTAAGTAGCTTGTAAGTAGAAGAGAGTGGCATTTGATTAGTTATCGAATTTATAGTGTTAGTTTCATAGAGTTTCTAGTCTCATCTATTTCATGTGTTCATGTGTTAACTAGTTAAAGCCATTGTTGGATATACGTTTTATGTACTTATGTGTCTGGTTCACTTGACTGTGTTATTTATATTTGTTGAAGTTATACTGTAATGGGGTTTATCCCGTGAATAAATAAATAAAAATAAAAATAAAAAATAACACCAGAAACATCTCGAAATCATTGCGGAACATTTTAAATATTCTTGTATGAATTCAACTCGTGCTGAATTCATCTATAGCCATCGACTCTTATAAGCATCGCATAATTTAGATAGATAGATAGATTTATTGACTAATACTACTAATACGTGTAATATGTGCCACAGGGCTCATCACCACGCTAGGTTGCCGCGAAAAAAAATTCACTGGATCATTTCTTCACGCTCCCGGACCTCAAGCCGGGCCACCCGTTGAGAGTCGAATGCCCGAAATCGTCTTCCGTCAACGCACTATCAGACGAATTTTGCTTGGTCTCAAAACGAATAAGACTAATGGTCCTGATGGAATTCCACCCATTATCCTCAAAAAATGTGCGCCAGAATCAACACCGATTCTCTGCAAGTTGTTCAACGTCTCTTACAGGTCGGGTATTTCTCATCATGGTGAAAGATAGCTAGTCCAACCAATCTCCAAAAAAGGGAACAAGAACCTGCCCAACAACTACAGGCCCATTGCCCTGTTACCAGTAATCTCCAAAGTGATGGAGAAAGCCATCAATATTGAGCTTACCAAATATCTGGAGAGCTCAGGAATCATCAATGATAGACAATACGGCTTTCGCCACCGAAGATCTACTGGAGATCTACTTGCCTACGTCACTCATTTATGGCAAGCTTCATTAGAAAAACACGGGGAATCTCTAGGTGTCGCGTTGGACATATCGAAAGCATTCGACCGTGTTTGGCACGAAGGACTCCTCCACAAACTACCATCATACGGCTTACCACCTCAGCTATGCCATCTCTCATCGGGTTTTCTTTCAGGCAGATCGCTTCACGTGGTGGTGGACGGTGCATCGTCTGATACCATTGGCATCAATTCCGGCGTTCCACAAGGATCAATTTTGGCACCAACATTATTTCTTCTCCATATCAATGATCTGTTGGGAGTAACAACTTGCCCCATCCACAGCTTTGCAGATGATAGTACCCTCCATACTGCGTTCTCTTCCAGAATTCCCATTTTTTCCCAAGAAACTAAGAAATCACAGCGCAGGCAGGTCAATGCTGTCAAATGAAGACCTTGCTGTGATCACAGCCTGGGGAACTAACAACCTAGTTGAATTCAACGCCACCAAAACTCAACCCAGTATTTTCTCTAGAAAGGCGGAACTCAGTATGCCCGATATTGTAATGTCTGGCACCACCATCCCCACCGAGCCCACCATATCTATGCTCGGTATATTCATCAGCAACACTCTTTCATGGGATAATCATGTCAGATCCATCGCAAAAGCTGCTTCACAAACACTCGGATTCTTGTTCCGTGCGGAAAGCTACTTTACACCTCAACAGCTTCTCATGATCTACAAAGAGCAGATACGGCCTATTCTAGAATACTGTTCCCACATATAGGGTTCAGCACCAAAACATACGCTGATGCTCTTAGATTCCATCCAGAGAATAGCCATTCGCCTGGTGGGTTACGCCACACTCACTCACTCTTTGACATCATTGGAACACCGTAGAAAGGTCGGAGACCTTTCACTTTTCTATCGCTACTTCCACGGGAAATGTTCTTCGTAAATCTCTGCTATCATCCATTCACTAACAATTTCAGTCAGACGAACTAGACAAGCCCAGTCAGCACATCATTTTGTTGTCAACCTCGAAATATGTCGAACAGCACTTTATCAATACTCCTTCATCCATAGAACGGCTAGGCTCTGGAATCCATTGCCTGAGGAAGTATTCCCAACAACATTTAATCTCCAGAAGTTCAAAAAAAATTTCAATACCTACTTCCTGTCCCTATCCTCCCTAGGAACGCACGATGTCCTTTGAACATTATAGGGATTTCCTTTCGTGCGCTCCAATCGATAAAAAAAAGGCGGCCACCTAGTCCGCCTGATGGTTAAAACAGCGCTAAATTATTTCCTTCTTGTAGTTGATAATACCTTGAGTATTGATGAAAGATTCGATTTATGTGGAAAAATATCGGTTAACTCGATAACATTGTCTCTAACACTTGCTGATCGCCCTACTGTACCGGGGATTTCCGGCAACATGAAAGTCGGAACAGCTGTTTTTTTTTGTGTTCATCTAGTCCTTATCTACAATTTTTGGTCAATGGTTTTTTGTCCGGGGCGAAAAAACGAAAAACGAAAAAACAACATATTATGCATGCCGGATGAAATATCATCAGAGCCCACTCATAATTATCTGATGACTAATTTCATTTGCTCGTTTGTTCCAAAATCGGATCATCAATAGCAGCGCTATGGCTTGAGCCGTTTTTGTGGGTGGGTTGGAAATATTTTCAGGATCCGAAGTATCTTCAACACATGGCAAATATTTTCCTTGTTGGAGGCTAAAATTTCTCTTCTTCCATTCCCTCTTTTTCTCTTTCGGAATCAAATCCACTCGAGGTCACTAGCAACCACCATTCCATCATCAATACTTGAACATCCATAGGGTTGTTCAGTTCGTACCAACCATTGTGTGCTCGTCCAGTTTCCCTTCTGAGACTTGACTCATGATTTTCCGAGTGCGCGTTCTTAGGGCACGGGCCCCTTTATTTTGAATGAAAACCCGCTCATTCCTCCAAAACCTATTTATTATTATCATTCATGATATTATGATGGGAGACATCGGCAACTTTAAAAAAAACAAATAATGTCATGTGATTTCTAAAATACGGCTACAGATTTTATAAGTTCGAAACATGTCCCGTTGAATAACTACATCATTATCAAAGTTGTGGAGATGATTTTGAGCTTTCCTTCATCCTTTTAAAGATTCATCCAAGTTCAAATTATTTGCCATTTCCTCAAATTCTGCATCCGTGAATTTGACAAAAAAAAACTGATATTTCAGATGTAGCTATAGTTTGAATCCCCTGGTATCATCAATGATACCTAACGAGTTAGATATGAAAAATAATAAATAGCTTACTAATTATATCCTACAAAGTATGCACAAATTTTTTTCATCTTTTCATCGAACTATTTGAGAGAAAAAATCATGAACAATATCTGCTACTTACATTCATTTTATGCACTAGCGGGCGGTGAAGTGCACTTTATCACCCAGATTTGCGGGCGTGAAGTAATACTTTACCGCCCTCGGGCCCATTATCGCCCAGGGGCCATAAAGTGCACTTTACCGCCCACTGTTCTCAAGTCCCTTATATCCACACATCTATTTGTGGAATTCCCATATTTGAACTCTCAGCTGATTCCATCGTTATGATTATGATACATGGTCATATTGTTCATCCGATTCCAACTTTGCTATAACTTCCTTCTTGGTATAGTTGCTTTCTGGCTGTCTGAAGTTTTTAGCGGAAAGATGACAATTTCAGCTTGTTTTTTGGATGTATTGCTAGACAGCAACCATCAGATTGATTGACAACGTCAAACTTAGGTAGCTATATACTGAGTATACACATATTGTTACATCTCAAGGAATGAATCTCTGTTAGTGAACCAAGAGTTTTACTCTTACGATAATAGCGATATTCGTACGGTCATTTTAATATGTAGATTATACACATAAACATTGCGCTTCTCTTCAAAACTAATTTCATGAGTGACATATGAATTATTGTATTTTGTTGAAATCTAGTCCTCACTTGTGACTCGGGAAATAAACCACTAGTGCATAAAATTTTATATGTATCACGTGCGTAGAATGCGTTTATGGCCTTCGTCAGCGTGTAATGGCCATAAACGCCTACTTTACGCCCTTGATACATAAATAACTATTACGTATTGGTCATATATGGGATCCGAGGAGGTTATCATCATTATGACCCGCTGATGTTGTCTGTCGGCAGTTTTTGTGGGCGTTTAAAGGCCCGCTCGATATATGTTTGCTGGGACCGATGTGCATTGATAGGAACTTTTCTCGAAATCAGTATACAACAGTTATTTTTGTACTACCAGTATATAGAACGGGATGCATCTTCCTACTATCTGTTTTCTTGCCATAGGTTTTGGAGATTCGTCAAATCTACAACCATCGGAACTGGGTATCGTGAACGACACCATCCAAATCTACGAGTGGATCAGAAACAACACTCAGAACGAGATCTACATTTGGGGCCACTCCTTGGGATCAGCTCTGGCTACTCACGTGGTACGGAAACTGAGAGAAGAGCACGATATCATCCCCATGGGTCTCTTCCTGGAGTCCCCCCTAACTACTTTGAGGGAGGCTATGCCCAAACATCCGATTGGGAAGGTGAGAGAGTAAAGAGAATTAGTCATGAGGTTCAAAAGAACAATCAATTGAATATTTTTGCACTACCAAGAATGAGTTTATGTCCTTCAGGACCTCCAAACAGGGTCCAATGGAATGATCTGTTTGGTCCTTTCACAGCAAAGTGACTTATAGTATATACTTTTTCGTTTTTGCATCTTTAATGGAGCCATTATGACACTCAAATACGTATCGAAATAGCTCCTATTATGCCCATATAAGGACACGCTGAATTTTTTTCAATGTTGATAATAGATGATAATAACGTGAATGAACAATAAAAAGTTTCATCATTGTTACCAACTACTCAATTCATATATTTCTCATATTTGATCTTATTCATGAAGGTATTTCAAATCAATAGGTACATATGAGTGCAAAATAAAAAAAATAGTTTAGTATACATATGTTTTATAGAACATATAAAATAGTATCATATGAGACTTATTGCATAATAATATACTATTGTCGAATTGAATTGTAACACAGGTTACCTCGTTCTAGAGATTGTTAAATGGAAGGGCAAAATTATAGTAGATGTACAGGGTGTCCCGTAAATACCATATCAAACTGAAGGAATATGTGGATCAAAGGGTAGGTACCCATACTTTTATGAAATAAACCCAATAAACAATTATTATTCTAACCGTCTTCAAGATACTTTTCTTCATGAAAAATTCTATGTACCTCCTATACTTCTATTCTCATATCCTCATTCTGAAATGTTCCGAGTATTTTTTCAATGTATAGAATTATTAATAAACAATATTTTCTTGAAAAAAGTGATGTGGAAGTTTCCTACATTCAGATTTTTATTCATCAGTGGCGTTGTGGGATCCTTTTTTGATAGGCTCAGATTTTACTTCTGAAAAAATTTGAGTTTGTTCTGGCTCGTTCACCATTCTAATAACATCATTGGTGAACTGCTATGTTCACACAGAGCTAAAAAGCGATTTTGGTAGCTCGAGTGGTTTCCATAGGCAATGAAACTCTATTTTGTCCAACAAAGGGCAATTCGTCTCGTGGGTGATGCCTCGCTCAAAAACTCACTCGCTGGCGATTTGGCTCTTTTTTATAGATATTTTCATGGACGATGTTCTTCTGGAATATGAACAATTGTTCCTCCCTTGGCAGTCCCCGCGAGATTAACCCGTCGAGTTGAGGCTTCGCACCTCTTCGTGGTCATTTTGGAGACCTGCAGAACATCTCTTTCCAAAGACTCGTTCATCCAACGAATGGTGAAGCTCTGGAACACATTGCCAAGGCAGGTGTTCACTGAGGTATACAACCTCCAAAAATTTGAGAACACCAATTCCTACCTTATTCCTCTTGGTTTTCACGATGTTCTCTGAACATAACAGGATATCCCTTCTCGTGGGAACCAGAAATTAGAAAAAATACTTTTATAGGTAAAATGATATTTTCTGTATAATTTCGATTTATTGATTATTCCAGAAGTATGGACCAAATTGTTCACGAAATCATAAAGTAGTTCAGATGCCAGAAGAAAAATACATAGAATATACGAGTTGTTTTTGAAATAAAAACATATAGATATGATACAGTCTGAAGAATATTCCCTAAATATCAGATTTGTCTTAATTCTTTTGATTAACGAGAAATTTACTCCCGAAAACTTAACAGAGAACGAAAGAAGATCAAGTACGCCACTTTAAACCAATTTCGATGATTACACTTCGCGTGATTGTACCTTCTGCAAATTTGAAAAAAAAAGTGACGTCAGAACTACTGATCTTTGAGTGGTAAAATTGGTCGCATCCCAAATTTTATTTCGATACCCATATTTTTTTCATTGGCGCCATTCAATACAGTATACGTCGAGTTTTGTCAGGGCTCGAAATATTTGTATTTATTTCAATATCACTCTGTATATTACAATAATACCCAGAACAGCTGTAATACTCAAAGTTTGATTTTGAAATCGATTAGACTCGATTATTTTCATTTTTACCTGAAACCATTTCACACCATGCAACCACTAAGCTGCGATAATATACTTATTCTTATTGTTCTTTCATTTTCAATTCGTGCTTGTTAGGTTGTATAATTACGTTTATATACTATATTCATCGAGTACGGTGCCATTTGTTGCCAGAAAAGTTCTTGACTGATCTAGTTCGTAAATTAAGATAATTGATGTGATTAATTTCGATTTTATGTATGTATGTTATCTATGTGCCAAGGACGGAACACTGTCTATTATAGTCGAGTCTGCAAATTGAGGCTATAGCAATCGGGCGAGACAAAATACAGTTTTTCGCCGAGGTGCATATTACATTTTTTCGTCGACCTCAAACACCTATATTCACATCACGGTCCTATTCACACGTGAAAACTATCGAATTTAGTGAATAATTAATTTGACAACAGCAAATGACAGTTGTTATCAACTGCCAGTTGCAAGTTCGAGTTTCATTCCATCAGTAAATACCTTGTCAAAAATTCAGTAGATTTCAATAGATCTGTTGAAGATCCATTTTATGCTATACGAATTCCAAGAAAGGATAATGAAATGAACTTATGACATCACAACATAATGTACTTCAAGTAAACAGAAAAGTAACTTATTTCTAATAAAAAAGAAATAAATAAAACAGATATTCTCATACAAAAATAGTCATATTCGGGTGCAGAAGCGAACACGACACTATTTATTTTCGAACTGATTCATTTGAATTGAAGAAACACTAATTTATATCAAACTTATAACTACTATTTATGTAAAACGATTCATATCACGCGATATATAACTGTCTCTCTGACACTCGCTGCTCGACTGACTGACGGCAGTTGTCCGGCCGTTTATATATGAGATCCCTTGGTAGGCTTCGGTTCGAGAACATTCTCGAATGATCTTCCGTCTCCTTCTCTTTGTTCTAGAAGCTTATTACAAAAGGGCGCGTCGTCGCCGAAAATGTGCGTTGGAGGAACGGGAAACGTTGGTGCGGCCCGTGAAATTCCCGATATTCACTATAACTACCCCTGTTACTTTCTTCACCCTGAACACGTATATTAGTAGTTATGATTTATAATATCTTATGACCACCAGAGGGGCGCCGATGAGATGCTTGCCTAGGGCGCTGGCGACATTTAATCCACCCCTGTATACCAGGTAGGGACCCTCTGATCTAGAATCTCCTTCAGTTTGACGTGGTATTTACGAGGACATCTTTGTATACGTGGAACGAGAGTGATACTATTGTTTTATAGTTATTCTCCTGGTTGGCTTATTTCGACGAAACCTTCCTGAATCCATTGGAGAAGAACGGCTTCCATTTCAGAACATCGACCAACATCTTGTACGTCGATTGTCCCATCATGATATTACACGCCAAAGATGATGATGTCGTTCCATGGGAATTCGGAAGCAAGGTAATAATAGTTATTTAACCAACTAGTGTATTAATGAGGGCGATTGATGATCGAGATATTTTAACGTGCGAGCGTATAGCGAGCGCGTTGATGTCCGAGATCAATAATCGCCTTTTAATATACAAGTTGGTTACAAAATTTTTCCGTCGACTATATTTCTCATTTCTCCTGCAATGAAGAAAACTTGGTTCGCGAATTCATCATTCATCATCCGGAAACTGCTAAGAATCATCCAGTAGCCTTGTTACTGACATTAGTGACATTTGACATTTGTCGAAATGATCAACATAAAAAATAAATTCCTTGTGTTAGAAAACAGAGATTAAAATCGTGTCAGAAACTTGGAAAGACGAACCCGTTAACGGGAAATCTTCGATGAAATCCATATTTTCGATTTGAATGCAGATTCCGTAAGTTATAGCATAAACAATGAATGCACGCGGTGTATGTTTGGTTGCCTATAAAACAATCGTGATGCATTAATAGACAAATCGTTCATTAATAGGGGTCATAAATGAACGATTTCATATACAATAAACTTAGTCGTTAATACGAGGTCGACGGAAATAGCTATTCATGAATAGATATAGCGAAGGTATCAATTTCCTCACGTGTGTGGGTTTTGATCATTGAACTGAAATGAAAGGAAATGAATTTTGTTTTTATTGAAAAAGTTTGAAACTGAACGAATATCAATTTGAAACTTCTGTCATCTTTCTTTTATACAAAGGAAATGTATGAAATGATTAGGATTCGAAGAAAATATTCATTTCATAACTGCGTGATGAACAAATTAACTGTTCACTTGAATTCCACCAAAACACCTGAACAAATCATTCTAGAGTCAATGGGCTTTTATATCACAAAAAAAAATCATAATTCGATGGAACTCACCCAAACTAGCTCACCACCGCAAACCGTTTCTTGCTGTGTGCTCCCTACGTTTCATAAAAAATAATTGAAATCCCCGATTTTTCGGACCTCTGAAAACGAGGCGATGATGTGACGTCAAAACCCTAATACTGAAATAAGACTATTCCAGACAAAGATGAATGATACATGATTTCTGACAGAGTGAATTAGCACGAGATCACAGTTGAAAGAATTGATATATCAGTTGCCTCAGTCTCCGTCGGGCTTCTGGTATTTTCTTTAAACTATGGCGAGATGAGGTTTCTACGTCATAAGAGGGTCCGTTTTCATATGGTACTATTATTTATGTCCAAAAATAAAACATTCCAGTAAATTTTTCGATCAAATAATGTCGTCAATCATTATTTATGTATAAATATAAAAGGATCATTATAAACATGGTTTGAGTTAAAAGTTCTAAAGGATTTTCTTTCGTCCCGTGGGAGTAAATTGACAGTCTTGTTTCCTGAAACGTGGAGGCGAAGGCCTACTTTAGATACAGGTATAGTGGAAAACACTTGTTCTTACCTCGATAAACTTTTATTTCGTGAATTCATGTGAGATTATGTACAGGGTGTTTCAGAGTTGTGATGACAAAAGCGTAGGGGTGATTCATCTCAACAAAATATGAAAACAAGATTATTTGAATATGGCTTCGAAAATGCTTGTCCGCATGTCTGAAAAATGAGTTTTTTCATTAATATCTTGAAAATGCTTGAGCATACGATCTTCAAATTTTGTGAGAACTTTTTTTTAAAAATTATCAACTGCTATTGAAATCACATTAAGAAATTTTCAAAATTACGGCCTCATGCTTCGATGCAGGAATTGCACCGTTTTACCATTTTCTGACGTATGGGGGTAACATACACAAGGTTTTTTGTATCTATATGCCGAGGTATGGTATTGACCGTTTTTCTCGAAATGGAAACACGGCACGCATAAGGCAAGAGACAGAAATGTTCTAATATTAGTGGGTTCATCTAGATATTTGGGGAGAACCCAAACAACAGGGTGAATTTTGGATCAAATCTAAATGGTGCAGAAAATGTTTGATGATTGTGTAAATGAACCATAAAAAAATCATTCAAATCGGCTCAAGCATTTTCAAGATATTGATAGAAGACTCTGACACATAGTTTTTCAAAAACGAAGCATTTTTGGAATCATGTTGAAATAAACATTTTTTCATATTTGGTTGAGAGGAATCGCCCCTGGGCTTTTTCACCACACCTCTAAAACATCCTGTATATCGATCGAATCCATCCTTCTCGGTTATTATTTTTATGATTATCTGTTTTTTAGTTAACTAAATTGGCACTAGAGCGAAGGTGCATTGAAGCTCAGGGAGATGTTATCTACTATCAGTTTGACGAGAAGTTTGGCTACAACCATATGCACATAACTACTGATCCCCATCTGAATGTCTATATTCGGTAAGAATCATTTGGCTTCATGATGTGGAAATGTATGAGTGTATGCCTTTTCTATTATTAATAATGAGATTACTTATAAATATATTCCTCTGATATCGAGAGAGTCATCAATCCTTTAGTGAAAAATTCAAAGGCCATGGATGTGATATCTATGAAATAAAAATGATATCAAGCTTCACTTACTAAGAGCACACTCATGTACACATTCACCCTATACAAAGTGGATGAGTTTGCACTTCACTTCCATCCACAAAAAAAAAATCGAAAACATCTTCCAAGCAGTAAATTTCCAAAGTTTCGAAATATTCGAGAAAATTATTTTTAATCGCCCTCAACGATGCAATTTATTATAGAGGTAACTTGAATTGAATATTTCATTCAACAAAACTTGAGGAAAGCAATATTCTTCTAAATTGATAGGAAGTGAAACACAGGCCATAACAATTATTTTTGGGGAATGGTACATCAATGCGGATGAAATTTGTGAATGAAGACATCACAAATGTGACAGTCTTATTATTTTTTGTTATAAAAATTGAAAAAACTTTTGAACCATAAACATTTGGATAACCTTATACGGTTAGTTTGATTGGAAATGACCTTCCCTACCACCCCACTTATTTTGATCCATGACTTATGGGACACCCTGTGAAGTGTATGTCTTCCCTATACAGGGTGAGTCATTAGTGTGGCAAAGTGAGATAACGGCTTTACTGTTCGAGATAGATAAACAAAAATTCCAGAGATGATCTAGGATCATGAGCAGCAGATTTCCAAATTATTTCGCTTTATACACGGTGACTCATAAATGCTTGGCGTATCAAAATTATACTTTTGATTTGCTATTTGCTATCTACTGACATTTAATTGAAACAGATACAATAAGGGTGATCTGAATGCTGAATCTTGAACCACCCTGTATCTATTCCAATTAAATGTCAGTAGATAGTAGAATCAAAAGTTGGGATAGGCAAAATTGAGCATCCTGTTGAAGAACACGTCGCAAAATTACTGGATTGGTATACGTGAGACTATACTACTTCTCTATGCCGAAAATTGTTTTAAAATTTGGATAAATGAAAATACCATGCCCAATTCAACATAACTCTTCAATAGTGGTGAAAATGGGTTTTTCAATTATAACTTCGCAACGCCGCAATCAAATTCAATTTTTTTCACAGCGATGTGAAGGTAAACCTTGGCGAAATAAATTCCGAATAAAAATATTGGTGTTCCATTTAAAAAAACTAGTCTCCGAGTTGTTCCGCTTTTATAAAGCACCCAGTAATGTTGAAAATATTTTTGAAATGAGCAATTTCAGTAACTGAAAAAGTTTTTCCTTCGAAGTTTTTCTCTATAGGTTGTGGCTTTCGAGATATTGAAGAATCACGCACTAAATGGACACACTGTATATTTATTTTTTCTATTAGTGCCAATCGTTTTTTTGTAGGACCTTCTTGGATGAGTGCAGGCGAATGAACCGAATGGTGAGGTGATCCATCCCAAAGGATAGTAACGGAAACTCATAATACACCTTACATCATTTTTAATTGGGAATAATGATTATTTCGACATTGACTTGCTATTTATTACTTATTTATATGAATTGTTTGAACTCAAGTGACGATACATTTTGAACAACTGTGATATTTTGTTAAATATGTATAGAATGAATATTTATTTCTTAATTGATTATACCTGACTATAATTCCACCTATCCACTTATACAGGGTGTTTCATTACTAATTGGGAATATTTCAAAAATAGAATCCTGATCTCAAAATATGAATATTTAACCCAAATCACCTAGATAAAATATGTCTCCTGTCTGAGTTACAGGGTGTTTTATTAAAAAATTTTGAAATGTTTTTTGCCCAGTTCTTCAAAACTATTTGACGTATCATTTTCATATTTGAAGGGAAGTGTACGTATTATACATCCAACTGAATTATGTGAAATGAACTTTTCTAGCTATCACCAGAGGCGTACGACAGGGGCAAGTGACTGGTTGATCTCTCCCAAATTCTACGCCACTGGCGGAATTGCAATTTTATCAGAATTTTTCGATTCTTCAATACCTTCTTCGTAAATATTGTACTCTTTCTTCATAGCGATTAAAGTCATTATTTTTCGAGATATTTCAAGTTAAACATGAAGCAGCACAATTATTTTGATTTTAATGTGTATCAATGATGTCGATATCTCGGATCAATGGACTGCATTCATCAATCAAATGAAACTTAAATCATTAACATAAAAACATAACAAACGGGAGTTGTTGCAGGGCGTTTTAAATTTTTTAATATCTTACATAATCAAACACCCTGTAGCAGCTCCTGTCTGTTATATAATTATGTTTTCATTGTTGATATGGATTGAAGTTTCATTTTATTGATGAATACAATTTATTGATCCAAAATATTGACAAAATTAATGCACATTGAAATCAAAATGATTGTGCAGATTTATGTTCAACTTGAAATGTCTCTCAAAATAATGACTTCATCGCCATGGAGAAAGAGTACAAAATCTACGTCAAAAGTGTTGGAGAATCAAAAATTTCTGATAGAATTGCAATTCCGCCAGTGGCGTAGAATTTGGGAGGGATCAACCAGTTAATTGCCCCTGTCGTACGCCTCTGGTAATAGCTAGAAGAGTTCATTTCATATAATTCAGTTGAATGTAAAATACCTACACTTCTCTCCAAATATGAAAGTGATACGTCGAATAGTTTTGAAGAACTGGGCAAAAAACATTTCAAAATTTTTGAATAAAACACCCTGTAACTCAGACAGGAGACATATTTTATCTAGATGATTTGGGTTAAATCTTCATATTCTGAGTTTGGGATTCTATGGTTGAAATATTTCCAATTAGTAATGAAACACTCTGTATAATGTTTCAGAGAACCATCATGAACCCTCCTTTATGAACTCGGCTGAAGCAAACCTACATCTTCTTTTTGGAACGTCACTTGTGAATAATAATTACTAAACATGTACCTACTATTACTTCTCCATTAGTTTTTTAGCTTCTATTCGAAATAATTATTAGAGAATCACAAGAATGTGAATTTGGAGTATGACCTTCTGGCTTCAACTCCGGCATATTATACAGGGTGTCCGGAAATTATGCGCAAAAAATCAAGGGGGTGATTCTGCATGAGAAAACATGAGATTTATTCAATATATACTCGGGTCCAGAAATGCATAGTTTTCAAGATACAGTGTGTTGAACTTTTTAGAAAAAATCAGTTATTTATTAATATCTCAAATATCCTTACACCGATTCTCTTGTTATTTAGCAATGATATTCTTCGTCATGAGTAGCTGATTTAGCCATAATTAAATTGGAATTGTGAAATCCAGTGGCGTTCCGGGGACACCCTACCGAATATTATTGTCAATAAAATGTACGCCACTGATTTTTTCAAATTCTATATCGTCATATTCAAATGATTAACTAAAAATACAACATTTTGGTCTCTTGAATTGTTTTGCTATTTTGCTGTGTTTCCGTGAAAAAAAATAAATACCAATTTCTTGTATAAATTTGTGCAGAACATAGCTTCAAAAACAGGGGTGTAATTAAATGTGTGATCCATATCCATAGACGTAGAATTATAATAAAGATTCATTTTCTTCAAATATTTCATATTACATGTTTGACACACTTTGTATTATCGAAAACTACGCCTATTTCTCTATATACAGAGTGTAGAGTGTGTCAAACATGTATCAAGAAATATTTGAAGAAAATGATTCTTCATACTTATTCTATGTCTATGGACATTGATCACGCGTTTATTTTCACCCCAGTTTTTCAAGGAATTTTTGTCACAAATTCATGCAATTAATTGGTATTTATTTTTTCCCATGAAAATGAAGCAAATTATCAAAACAATTCGAGAGACCAAAATGTTGTATTTTTAGTTGGTCAATAGGTTATGGAGATAAAGAATTCAAAAAAATCAGTGGCGCACATTTTATTGACAATAATATTCGGTAGGTTGCCCCCCGGGACGCCACTGCACTTCATGATTCCGATTGAATTATGAGTATATCAGCCCCTCGTGACAAAAAATATTATTGCCAAATTCCAATAAAATCAGAAAAAGGACATTTGAGATAATCATAAAAAACCGAACTTTTTTAAAAGTTTCAACACACTGTACGTTGAAAACTATGCATTTCCGGACCCACGTACATAGAAATAGAAATAGAAATAGAAATACTTTATTTCTTAACATGACATACATGTGTTGAAAGTATATGTGAGTGATAAAAAATGTTACAAATATCATAATTGAAATTGCTCATCTTGGAGGTATTCATCAACTGTATAGTAAGCTTTACCAATGAGAAGTTCTTTGATTTTATGTTTAAACGCTCTAATGGTAAGTGATTTGAAGACATTCGGTAGTTTGTTGTACAGTGTAGCTGCCATATAGGAACAATGCTTCTCCAAGTAGGTTGTACGATGACGTGGAAGAATTATGAGGTAATTTTTTTGCCTGGTTTCCGCATTACTGAAATTGAATTGATTTTTATTTTTATGTACATATAAGAGTTGTTGAAAAATATATATACAAGGAACCGTTAGTATTCTCAGTCGTATAAAATTATTTTTACATGTATCATATCGACTTATTTTGCATATTATCCTGATTGCTCTCTTTTGAATTCGGAAAGTAGATATCCAGTCGGTTGAATATCCCCAGCAAAATGTACCATAGGAAATTTTAGAGTGGAAAGAAGCATAGTATAACATTTTCAGAATAGGGAGACCCATGCCTTTGTTCATCATTGCTCTCAGAGAATAGCAGCTCGTGTTGAGTTTCCTATTCAGAATGGAAATGTGCTTTTTCCAATTCAATTTATTGTCAAGAATGAAACCAAGCGATTTTATGTCTTCTGTATATTTAACGTTGAACTTTGCTGTATCAATATGTAACTGATGTCTTGGACTGAAAAAAATACAAAAAGTTTTTTCAAAATTGATGTTAATTTTGTTGTAGGTGCACCAGTTATTTATATCAGTTAAACATTGATCAACACAGTTAGGTAAACTTTTTTCTTTTTCTGACCGAACAAGGCACAATGTATCGTCAGCGAATAATATTGTAGAACTATTATTTATGCACGATGGGAGATCATTAATGTATAGCAAAAACAGCAATGGTCCAAGGATAGACCCTTGTGGCACACCATTGCTGACTTTGCCCCATGCGGATGTTGATGGTTCATTGAGATTGTCAAAATTTGTTATGATAGTTCTTTGCTGTCTATCTTGCAGGTATGTATTGAACCACTGAAGCGAAATACCTCGAACTCCATAAAACTCCAGTTTCAAAAGCAAAATCTCAAAATTCACGCTATCAAAAGCTTTTGAGAAGTCACATGAAATACCCACAGTGGGAATATGTTTATCAAAATTTTCTGTTATTGACGTGGTAATACTACGCATCGCAGATGCTGTAGATTTTCCACATAAAAATCCATGTTGAGCTTCACTAATAATTTTGTTATCGATCAAAAAATTCAACAGTCTTTTATGCATAAGCTTTTCAAGTATTTTGGATACAGTAATCAAAAGTGAAATAGGACGGTAGTTATTTAAATCAGTAGATATACCTTTTTTGAATAGTGGTATTACATGTGACCTCTTCAAGGCTATGGGGAAAATACCCTGTTGGAAAGATTGATTAAATAAAATATCTAGTTCATTTACTAGACACCTAATGATTTTTTTCAATACTTTTGGCGACAATTTATCATAACCAGATGAGTTTTTATTTGCAAGGTTTTGAGTTATTGCCATTATTTCATTTGGATCTGTGGGTTTGCTAAAAAAGGATTTGCTATTTGGTTCAGAAAAACAAAGTTTCAAAAATCGTTCAACTGTGTCTGAGTCACTAGTTGTCATGTTCGAGTGGGGTACAACGTTTAGGAAAAAATCATTGAATTTCTGTGCAACGATATCAGAGTCGGTTATTAGTTCGCCGTCCTTTTCTATAATGAGTTGTTTGTTTTTCAAGAGATTGTTATTATTGACCCTTTTTTCATTATTTATGAGTTGCCATACTGTTTTTGACTTATTATCACTTGAAAGTAATTTATTTTCGACGTTTATGGTCTTAGCACGTCTAATGACTTTTTTCAAAACTGAACAATATTTCTTTATGTAACATTCAAGAACGTCGTTTTTGAAATTTTTTGTTAGTTCAAGAAGTTGCCTTTTATGTCGACAAGATGTTTTTATTCCAGTGCTGATCCATTCTTTACTTCGATTGATTTTAATTTTTTTCAATGGAAAACAAATTTCAAAATTTTTTTGAATAATTTCAATAAATAATTCGAACTTAGTTTCTATGTCACTATATGGGCAATTTTTGTATTTATCACTGTTCAAGCCCTCCGTAATTCTATCTGTGAACCATTTCAAGTTATATTCAGAATATAGACGCATATAGGAAAATTCATTCACTGTTGCTGTCCTATTAATCTCAATATTCATCGCAATTTCTTGTAGATAATGATCCGATAATCCGATGTTCTCAACTCGACTGTCATATTCAGATAGAGTATCCGTAATGAAAATATTATCGATACAAGTACTAGATGATTGAACACGCGTGGG